CCCCTTGTCCCTGCCCTCCCTTCACCCCCTCCTCTCCTCCCTATTTACAAACACTTTATTTCCATTTTTTCAGTTTCTTGTATTTTTTTTTCCTCTCCCTTATTATGTTTCCCCCACCCTTCCCACTTTCCCTAACCCTTTAGCCCTTTACTTCCTATTTCACATTATTAATTATCTCATTAGGATCTTGTGTACTATTATACTTTTTCACAACAAAGAAACTATTCAGTATTTCAGTTAAAGAAATCTCTGTATGAACATTAAAAATAGGGAATCCTAAAATAAAACTAAAAAGGAAAGTAAAAGAGAAAAGGCAATGATGTAACATTAAAATAATCCTTAATTCTGGAGATGAAAATGGTCCCTGAACATATTTAAATTGCTTCTTGCTCTTGTAGTCTTATCTTATTCTTTTTTTCATTATTTAGAGAATACTTGATTAGTTTCTGTAATCAAACCCACATATATATGACCTTACATATTTAGTACAATGTGTTAACCCTGTACACATGGAAAAAAATAAAAAATAAAAAAAATTAACATTTCTAGACCAATGTGGCTGTCCATTTCTGTATAATGCCAACTCAACAACAGTAAACTGGGATGACTTTTTCCAAAGTCAACAGCGCCATTAAAGTTTCCCAAAATTCAATTTATATATATATACATATATATATATATGTATATATATATATTTATATTTATATATATATTATATTATATATATTGGAGTATGTCTAATTTATTCTTTCACAGAACCACCTTTCTTCTATTCACTGGGTCTTAGTATTGTCTGTTTAGTATCAGTTTCATTAATTTCTGCTTTGATATTTAAGATTTTCTTCTTTGTAGTAGCTTTGAATGTTCTTGTTTTCCTGGGACCTTGAGATACATCATTAGGTTATTTATGTGTGCTCATTCTGTTTTCTGATGTGGGCTTTCACAGCTATAAACTCTCCTCTTATGATGGCTTTAATTGTGTCCCATCAGTTCTGTATTACCATTTGTACTGGCATTGTAATTTGAGTCTAGGAAGTGTCTAATTTCTTGTTGGCCATTGATTATTCAAGAGGGTGTTGTTTAATTTCCATGTGTTTGCATAATTTCTGTGGTTTCTTTTGACATTGATTTTTAGTTTCATTGTACTATGATCTGATAATATGGATGGGATAATTTCAATTCTTTTGTGATCACCAAGCATGCTTTATGGGCTCTATGTGGTCTTTTTTAAATCCCACGTGCTGGTTTCGTTCAACTCTGGTCGTTCTTTGCCAATTTTTTTGTCTAATTGATCTCATGGTGAAAGTGGGGTAATTGAGGTCCCCCACTACAATTGTATTGGTGTCTATCTGATCTTTTATGTTTAGTGGTGTTTGTTTTATGATGATATGTATAGGAAGGTATTTACAGGATAGCAAACACACTTTGCTCCCTCAGCCTTTTCTTGGTTATTTTAATATCTTCCAAACTGGTGGTTCTGCTCTATCTTTCTAACCTCTGAGCTTTGTGTCTTGCAGTGTGATGGGCAGTATATTCCTCTCCCTAGTCTTCAAGGCATAGCGGTGTTGAACATTCCTAGTTATGCTGGAGGCACTAACTTCTGGGGTGGAACCAAAGAAGATGATGTAAGTACCATAATGGAAGTGAAGACTTTGTTTCCTCAGAAACAATTATATTACTGGAATACTTTTTTTTAATGTGCTTTTTAGTATCGACTTAATTTTGAGTCAGAATACACTGGGCAGATGAGCGGTAGAAAAGATTTAAGATTTTATTTGAACAATCTCATGTATATACTTTAAAATCCTTATCCTGGAATGTAGGCAATAATATTCTGGATAAACAAAAATGAATATACTTTGGAAAAGCAACCGGGATAAAAGGGAGAAACTTTTTACTTTTAATAGCATATCTAGTATTATTATTCTGCTGGTATAAGAAATTAATACAAACATAACACACATGTTCCTGGTATATTTGTATCAAAGTTTATATTAGTTGATGTGCAACTTTAGCCAAACTTCCAGTGAAAATGTAATGCAGCTTTTCCTTACAGATATTTGCTGCACCATCATTTGATGACAAGATCCTGGAAGTTGTTGCAATATTTGATAGCATGCAAATGGCAGTGTCAAGGGTCATCAAACTCCAGCATCATCGCATAGCCCAGGTTAGTTTCTCTGATCAAAGCTGACTTCACTTCTTGAGCCATGGAAAGTTGACGGAAGCTATTTCACATTTTACCTACCCTGACTATGCTTTTGTAAAAGATTGTCTTTCTTTCATGTCACTTGTTACTGTGTCATCAGGAGTGGTAAAGCATAGGAATTCCATCCCACAGAATGGATTAAAAACCAAGCCTAAGGCAGAGATTGATTGTGTCCATTCTTCAGGATGATTTGTATTCTCAAATAATGTGTTTGTTTTATTTCAGTGTCGTACAGTAAAAATCACTATATTTGGTGATGAAGGAGTCCCAGTGCAGGTGGATGGTGAAGCATGGGTTCAGCCTCCAGGAATTATCAAAATTGTGCACAAAAACAGAGCTCAGATGCTAACAAGGGACAGAGTATGTAACAAAAAAATTTCTTCCAAAATTTTGTCAAGCTGTTTTTTAAATTATCTTAAATTGTTAAGAATGAAAACAAAGGAGAAGGTTTAAATTGTCTCTTAGATCTGACATTTAGGTCATTGTGGTTTTACATATGAACAAATGTTTATTCAGTTTTGTTTTAAATTAAATTGTTTTTTTAAAATAGTTTTAAGCTTACAGAAAGATGGAGCACAAAGTAGAGAATTATAATTCCATTCCCACATACTTCTTTCCTCCCACCCACTACACACATGAATTCCCCTATTACTAACATTTTGCACTAGTCTGACAATTTTCACCACTGGCAAACCAACCTTAATACATTATTATTATTAACTAAAGTCCTAGGTAATATTACTCTGTGTTGTACACCTATGGGTTTTGACATACATAATCACTTCTCTGCACCACTGCAGTGTCGTGTAGAATAGTGAAACTTCAGATTTCCCTGTGCTCCAAATTCATGTCTCCTGGTGGTCATTGATCTTTTTATTTTTGTAGTTTTATCTGTCTCAGAATATGTATTTTTTAATTAAGGTCAACCTTTAGCAAACAAGACAAAATATTCATACTACCTAATAATAAAGTAAAAAGAGATCAAAGCATAAAATCTTTGTAATTACATTTCTTTTTATTTGCTGCAAAGTAGGAAAATTTTAACTATCAATTTTTTTTTTGTACTGAGAAATTGAACTACTCAGAGAATTCTTATTAAGCTACATCCTCAACCCCTTTTTTATTTTGAGACAGAGGCTTACTAAGTTACCCAGGCTGCACTCAAACTTATGATCCTTCTGCATCAGCCTCCCAAAGTGTTGGGTTGACAGGCGTGCATCACCTTGCCCATAAAATGTCTCTTCTAATACTTGTGGTATATTGAATGACATGTTAGATTAGAGAAAAAGCAAGCATAGTTTCAAAGATTCATACAATATCTAAATAATATTTACCTGGGTTTCAGAGTTCTAAAGTAACCATTTATTGCACTGTTGATTTTAAATAGGCCTTTGAGAGCACCCTGAAGTCTTGGGAAGATAAACAGAAGTGTGACTCTGGCAAGCAAGTTCTTCGAACCCATTTGTACATCCAACATGCTGTTGACCTGGCAACGGAAGAGGTGTCGCAGATACAACTGTGCTCCCAGGCTGCAGAGGAGCTAATTACCAGGTAGTGTGGTCCTGTGGACTTTGTGGACTATGAAAGCTCGAGTCTCGGGCTATTTTAATATGTAGTTCTAGCCATTGGTAGTATCAAAAATAAGAGTGTGCTTGTTGCCTCGCTTGTACCTCAATAATTGCTGTACTCACCAGGAACCCTTCCACGCTCTCCATCTTACACTTCGTGAAACACTTTGATTTTCTCGGCCACACAGTATTCTTTCCATTATGATTTCCTATTTTATATGTGATATTTACAACCACATATCCATTTAACATATTGCTTTGTAATTATTAATGAATATTTATGAAATATAGAGCAAAGTCGAAATATTAACCCTTTTAACCCTATTCCAAAAGAGAATCAGGAGTGCTGGGATTAGTTTCTAACAAGCAGATATAGAGACCACTCATAAACTAATTTTGGTGGAGAGAAAGGGAGGAGAAGATGAGTTCTATGATTGTGAAACAGGTAAAAATCATTACAGCCAGAAATAAACGTTCAGAGAGGAGAGGATACCATGAACGGGTTTCTTTACTTCTCACCTAAATCTTATCTATCAAAGGGAGATAATTAAAACTATTTTATTGTAAGAATTAATTGATACTCAGAAGATAAATCATGTCTGGCAGGTAGATAAGCAGATTGGAAAGGGGAAATAATGATCTATGTTGGACTAAAGAATTTAAATTGCATTACAAATATCCGAGAGACAATTCCAGTTAGTTGGCAGTTAGAAATGATGGTCTGGAGTTGATTAACTTTTTCTCATCCTTTGAAAATTAGAGTACCATTTACCTACCTCTATTCTTCTGATAACTTATCTATTCTCCGGAGTTTTTCAGCATTATTGTTAATAATGTTGAGGTTCATTTACATTGTATCTTTGTGCTTTGGAATGTAATATAATGCTTAAAGTTTAAACTAGTTTCCTTTACTCTTGATTCAAGTATATAGGGCTTCTGTCTCTTTTCTTGTTCTATCCTTCCTTACAGTGAAGGTTTTTCTCCTTGAAGATGTCAGAAGCAAGAAGTATTTGACTGACTTCACTTTCTTCCACTTCTACAAGCCTTACATCACTTTCTAGCAATTGGTGGAACTTTGCCTCCATTCTCTTCTTTGTTCTTAGTGCCTTAGAGGATTTTGTCTTTCCAGGATAATTTTTAGAGTTTTGAGTATCAGAAAAGTGTGGCAGAACAGGCTTTGGGGTTGAATGGGTATAGATAATGGCTTTACCACTTACAAGCTCTGTATATGGTCATAATCTCTAAGAGCCTTAGTATCTTCATCTATAAAGTGTAGAAAATGAGTCATATCTTTATACGGTTGTGAAATTAAAGTATATAAACACTTAACATATACATGCTAAATATGGTAATGCATTTCCCCTAATGTATTTGAAATTTCAATGAATAGGCCTAAATTTCTACTCCGTATTTGTGACTTCTCTCACTTTCCAATTATAGGGCAAAATAAAGTAGTATTACTATATTTTGTTAATAGCACATAGAAATGTTTGTCGAATTATAAGCCTATCTCTCTCTCTCTCTCTCTCTCTCCCTCTCTCTCTCTCTCTCTCTCTCCCTCTCCACCTTGTGGTTGTCCTGTGTTGACCAGTTTTTCTCTGTCATTTCTGTCATGCCATTTCTACTATATATATTACCCTTTGTTGCAATAAGGTGTGAGGTTACCTGAGTATCCATTCAAACATACCTTTTTACTGATCTCTTCATAGTTTTTAATATTATCCTATACTTCGGTACTCCCCTCCCCACAACAGTATCAGCAGTGCTCCATACAAATGTTTTGTTCATTTATTTCATTTTTGCTTTCAGGATTTGTGAGGCAGCCACAATTCATTGTCTTCTGGAGCAAGAACTGGCCCATGCTGTGAATGCGTGCTCGCATGCACTGAATAAAGCCAACCCACGGTGCCCGGAGGTGAGGATCGAATGGTAAATTCTCATTCCACAGATTCTTTTAGTATTACACATATATTTGAAGACTGTAAAATATGCCAGGCAAAGGAAAATTGTGTGGACTGTATATGTGTCTGTCAGAACTCATGGTAAATTTGTGACCAGATTTTTGTTTTCCTTTTCTTGCCATTTTTTGATTCTTACTTGTAAATTCTTTCCATTTTTTTTTCTATTTCACTTTCAGTTACTTGTTACCTTGCTGAAGACCAAACTGTGTGCCTTGTGTTTGCCTAGCACCGAACTAACTCCCTACACCCCAAGTCTGTCTCCTCTTAAAATTGTTGACATTTTTTTCTTACTCCTGCTTTCAGCCTCCCCCGCAAACCTTGGTAAGGGGCAAACCTAGAAGGCATCAGTGTTTATTAGTGATGTTTACTCATTTTTGAAGTTGTACACTGACACTATTTGTACTTCATTTCATTTTACTAAATTGTAAATATTTCTGGGAAGGGGGCATAAGCTGAATTAAGATGTGTTATGTACATATACCATCCCCCACAGTGAATGTAATCATTATTTCTGCAAACATACTAATTAAAAATTTTAAGTAAATATTTCTGTAATAAATTTTAATGTAAAACTTAATAAAGTGCATAGAATAAAACTCTTCAAATTTGAAACATGGTACAATGGCATGGTATAGAGAAAACTGGTAGCATTATTTTATTCCTTTAATTATTCAATTTAAATTGCCTAAATTAATATTTAAGTAAATGCTGGCTCTCAAAAATAAGTTTAAAAAGCAATTTCTTTGGCACTACTGACCTAGAACTAACTCCCATAGACCCTTGAATAGCATGAGGGTTAAGGGTGCCAAACCCACCCACACGCTCAGAGAACCTTAAAACTTAACTACCATCAGCTGCTGTTGACTGATAACACAAAAAGTCACTCAACACGTATTTTGTATATAACATGTATTATATACGGTAAAAATATGCAAGAATCATGAGAAGTCACTTTTTACCGGAATAGCCAATTTACTGGAGAGATAACTACTTGGGTGAAGATGATTTGTGTCACATGAATTTTAAGCGGATACTCTCAACACCTGAGCTTCTGGTACCTGAGCAGTGGCACCAGAAGTGGTGACAAATGACAGTAGGATGTGCTGCAATTCATTTCAAGCTGTTTTGACTTATCATGGCATCTTTGTTTACATTTCTTTTGACTGCAAATGGTTCTTTAAGGTTTGTATTTTGTGTTTTATTATATTTGTGAATATTTTATGGTCATAAATAAGATTGTTACCTATATATATTTTTAAAACATCATGACTTACCTTTATCTTGATTTTTTTTTTTCAGTATTTCTGGGCTTTGCATTTCAATTGCAAGTTTTTTCAAATGTTCACAAATATACAATGCAAAAGTCTGCAGAAAAGCAGATTCCTGGTGGTTCAAACCTATGTTGTTTAAAGGTCTGCATATAATCAGGAAATGCCACTTTAAGACATAATTTTCTTTGATTTAACTTTTTAATGGAAATAGGTTGGCCAGTATATAAGTATTTGTAGATGGAAGATGTGATCCTGAGTATATTCACTGTACTAAATGCATTCTTTTGGTTCTGCGATAATCAGAAGAAATATGAATTTTACAACTACAGAATTTTGATAGATTTTTAAAGGTTATTTGTAATATGAATTTGCATCATAGGAGTACAATTTAAAGGTTTTACTAGTGGTGGAATTTCATTGTAATATGAAATTGTGTGACTTTGATATTCTTCTTTTCTAGAGTCTTACAAGAGACACTGCTACTGAAATAGCCATCAATGTGAAGGCGCTATATAATGAAACAGAATCTTTGCTAGTTGGCAGGGTTCCTTTGGTAAGGAAAAGAAATGACTGATAAAATAAGAGTGATGAAATAAATATATGGATTTTATGGGCACGATGGGACCTGCAATTCAGCAGATCCAAAGGCAGGAGCTGCTTTCCGGCTCCATCCTTGGATCTTACTTTTTTGCCAGTCTTTTGCCTTCCAAGAAAAAAAAAATGTATAACAGAAATTATTTGGCTAAACTTTGGAGCTAAGACCCAGGGGAAAATGCCTGTCACATGCTTGTAATCCCAAAACTAGGGAGGTGTAGGGAGGAGGAGGTTTGCCACAAGTTTGAGGCCAGTGTGGGCTACATAGTGAGTTCAAGAATAGAGTTTCCCCTCATAGATGCTATCACATGTTTGTGCCATCCTGCTGTCCACAATCAGCTTTTAGCGCCTTCAGCTTTATAAAATGTAGTTAACATTCCTTGGGTATTTGGTATTGCTCAAAAATATAGGAAATCATGGGTTTTGTTCCTGGAATTAACATTTGAAATATGAGTGGTATGGTCCTCCAGATTTGCTTAGAGAAAGACACTTTATAGATGCAGTGTTTCAAGAACTGTCCTTAGTTTGATTCAGTTTGATCTTAGAAGTCAAGTTTAGGCAAGTCTACATCTGACCATAGTCCATGGACATCTGACCATAGTCCATGGACATCAAGTATAAGTGCTAGCCCAGAGTCAGCTTTTCTTTAAACATTTGGTACCTCACCATTCTCAAATGTCCTAGCATTTGAACCTTTTCGTCACCTAGAGTTAGATTTGGGCATATTCACACCTGCTGTTGCCATGTGGAAGTCTACTGCATTTACTGTACTTTCCTTCCTTGTCATTACTCAAATTAATAGATAGGTGATGATCTTTAAATATATCTTTTGACTATCTTTCTGCTTGGACAAACCTACACCTAAATAAAAGTCCTTAAAATTACAATAATTGGCATAGTAGGTAATGAATAGGAGGTATATACATGGCTTAACTAACTGGTGATTGTGCCTGGCATTTCTGCTCATTTGTGGTCCCAAAGAGTGCTGCCCTTCAAGCACCCTTTCCTCTGAGAAACTCAAAGGCTACATGAAGGCTAGCACCCTTAACCAGCTTAGGAAACTGAAATACAGCCATGCAGAAAACTGTTAGGAAGAAACATTGGTTATCACTTGACAAAACCAATGGAGGTCTAGTCCTGGTGATTTGTGGCACTACTGTTAACTAGAATCTTCTGTAGCTTTTCTAAAGTAAGTCCTATAAGAAAAGCTGTGACTTGGGTCCCATTTTTTTTTCAAATTGAGGATCAATCTATCTATCCATCTGTATAAATTGAAATACATTTAAAATCATTCAGGCCAGGGATTTAGCTCAGTGTACTGCGCCTGCCTTGCAGGTGCGCAAGGTCCTAAGTTCAATCACCAGTACACACACACACGGGGGTGCGGGGGAGAACAAACAGGGACAAGATCTTGAGTTCAATCCCCAGTACCAACAAATAAATAAATAATTTCTAAAAAGAACTGGAAGCATAATTTTGTCCTTTCCTCCAAAAGTACCCCCCCTTTATTAACATTTATCCACTGTATTGTGTTAAAGTGAAAGGAACCCTCACCACACATACATTCTGTCATTGACAAATATGGCTCTTTGGTTGAAAATGTATTCCAGTGAATATTGCCAAACTCTTTGACAATAGCATCACAGTAGTTAATTATATTTTAAAACTAGTTTATTCCTTATAAAAAGTAAATTCTAGAATGACTAATAAGCATGTCAAGTCTATAAAGCATACATTCTCAGGCAAAAATTAAAATGGTACATGTTACGTAATAGGGTGGAGAATCTCCATATTTTTAAATACTAGAAAAAGTAGATACCTTTAATAAAAAGGGAAAACAAAAAAACATAATAAATAATAATAATATTCTTCCTGAACTTTGAGTTCTAAAATTCCTTGGACATCTCTATGTGCTCTATACAGTTTTCTGTTTTTTCTTTTTTCTTTTTGGTACCAGGGATCAAACATGGATCCTTGTGCTTACCGGGCAGGCAGGGGAACCACTGAGCTAAATCCCCAGCCTCTGTTCTACACAGTTTTAAAGTAATTTATAGAAGTATTAGTTAGCTAGAAGAGAACTCAGGGGTAATATGGTCATATTGTGCTATTTCTGGAAGAGGAAGGTGAGACTCCTGAAATCAGTTAACTTTACTTCAGTTTGTAGTTAGTAGCAAGGCCGGATTACCATCCAGGGAACAGCCCTCCAGTTCTGGTTATAGGTTTTCACAATAGCTTTCATCGCAAATATTTCTGAAATTTTTTCCCTTAAAATACTCCTTTTAATTTTTCAGGAGCTTTGTGTGCTTTTTGGATATTTTTTAAAATACTATTTGTTCATGTAGTGAGCAAGTATAAATCAAAAGGATTTTTGGCAAAAATAAATCGAACACTGACACAGTTCACTGTGAAATCAGGAAGGATGGGAATAGATATTTGAAGGAAGGAAGAAGGGCTGAAGAAAAGAAGGAAGAGGAGGAAGGGAGAGATAGGAAGAATTTAACTTAGAAGAAACACCAAAAGCAATACTTTTTCTGTGAAATTACTTGTACTAGTTATGTACATCATCTTTGGGAAATAAGAATTAGAATAAATCTATCTATGTATTAAAATATAAAGGAATTTGTTCTTTTAAAAGTTCTTTTATTTTTAAAAATTAACTTAATAAGTAAGGATGTTCACCATCAAAACAAAAGTTGTTCTTTTTGAAGCTGTCATTGAGTCTTATTTTGTTTTACTTTTTAATTTGCTGGTGAACAGCAGTTAGAATCTCCATATGAAGAGCGTGTATCCAGTGCCTTACACTCTGTGGAGGTGGAGTTACAGAAATTAACAGAGATCCCCTGGCTTTACTATATCTTACATCCCAATGAGAATGAGGTATGTAAAATTCAGTCTATTTCTTTATGAATATAGACCTTGCGACAATAGCATTTGAATTTATCTTTGAAAAAGAAACATTTAGTAATAATAAATTTTGAATACTACTTACATATATACCGTTCTTAAGGGGGAATTTTTCTGAACACAGGCACTGTACTGAAATTGGTACATTTTCAGTAATACAGTACATCGTGAACCTTTTTGAAGAAGTTACTACGTTCTACAATATGTAGTGTTTATAAACTATTCCCATGTTATCTCTATTCACAGACTGGATTTTTCTTCTCTTAATAACCTAAAACAGATCTTTTTTTATTCAATTTGAACAGGAGCCTCCTATGGATTGCACAAAAAGAAACAATAGGAGCACAGTATTTCGTATAGTGCCAAAGTTTAAAAAGGAAAAGGTTCAGAAGCAGAAGACAAGTTCACAGCCTGGTAGGTTGTCCACACAATGGGGAAAAATGACTTATGAAAGTGATACCACTGAGACAATGCAAATGTTCTGGAGCTAAAGAGCAGTGAGCTTTGCCCAATAGTAGAAACATACTAAATATCACACAGTTGTGTAATATCAACCTAGTTATGTCAGAGTAATAGTAGGCATCTGACTGTTTTCTTCTTTACAGTTTGTGAGATCACTGATAAATGGAACATAGAAACTTTCAGTTACCACCTTCAATTTGCTAAATATATTTTCCACTTAACTGCATATTCTTCTCCTCTTAAAACAGTAATCTCCTGTTCAACCCCCTGATAATGGCCATCTGCTGTGATACTTGCATTCTCCAGCAAAAATTAAACTTTGTGTATGCTGCTATTTTGCTAGTTCCCTTTCACCTTCCTTTACAGGTTAAATTTACTGCTATCTAGTGCTGAGGTACCGTCAAATTCTGTATTTGTGAGATCTGTCTTTAATTAGCAAATAATTTTATAAATTCTTCAATTATAAAAATTTTATAAATTCTTCTGAGTTAACTGTTGATATTTGTAAAAAGATATATAAATTCTTTTTTGTGATCTTTATAGAGAAGCTAATGCGGGCATTTTAAAAGCCAAATGCAACAAATAACTAGCTTTTATTAAGCTAAACAATGTTGAATAAAATGTATGAGAATGATTATACACTGAAAAATCACATAATTAAGACAGTGATGGTGAACCTTTTAGAGATCAAGTGCCAAACTGCAACCCAAAACTCACTTTTTTATCACGAAGCGCCAACACTGCAATTAAATCTGAACACTGAGATTTTAGTTTAGAAAAAACAACTCTACATTAACGTCTTTGATCGTAAAAGGAAAACACAATAACACTGTCACCACTAAGCGATCAGTACTGACAGTTTTTAAATGACATTAATTTCACAGCACATTTATTATTGCAATTATCAATAGCAATAGGATCAAAAAAGGGAACACTTGAAGTCAGCCAGGCTGTAAGCAGGAAGTGTATAAAATTGAGTGCCCCATTTTAGATTTTAAATTTTCATAAGCATTTGTAGCTCATTTCTGACTATAAGTTTTCATTCAGTCTTAAGAAAGTCATCAGCGCTCATTTAAAACTTGTACCACTAATCTTAGTGATGCAAAATAAGTTTTTTATGCATATTGTATAATCCGAATAGTTTCAATGAGGATTTTAACAAAAACTAAAGGCATGGGTGCATGGGTCATCATTGTGTTTGTATGGTCAGATCTTTGTGTTGATTGGTAACCTGCATGGGGAAAAAAAAAAGAAACTACAGTTTTGTTGAAACACCACCTTTGACCTTTCCTTTGCTAGCACTGCTGCTGCACTCTGTTTTGCATCTTCTTTGGCCAGCCTTTGCTTTGTAATGCATTGAGCATGTAGAAATTAAGGGGGTTTTGCTCTTAACTTTGGTAGTTCAGAAATGGGGCACAGAGGAAGTTGCTGCTTGGCTGGATCTGCTCAATTTGGGAGAGTACAAAGAAATCTTCATCCGTCATGACATCAGAGGGGCTGAACTTTTGCATCTGGAAAGGCGAGATCTTAAGGTATTTCCTTTGTGCTATTCTTCTGCTCTTGAAAATTTTCTTGCAAAACAGAATCCTTTTTCCTGTATCTCTTTCCTTATGTGCTTTCAGCCTGGCTTGTGTTATGCAAATTTGCAGTAATTTGTCTTAACTTTCCTCTTGTCTTCAGTTTCTTGTGTGCTTTCTAAACAATGTCAGCAATATTTTCCTGTCAAAATCAGTTTCTGACTGTTATGCTACAATGCAGCATGAGTTAAGTGATTTTCCTTTGCATCCATTGTTGTGACTGTTCCTGTGCTAATACTTACAGTGAATCGAGTTTCTATCAGTTTATTGTATTGGATCAGCATGGAAGGTGATAATTCTTGCTAGAAAAGACTTATTAAAAAATCTAATATGGGCCAGGGATTTAGCTCAGTGGTTCTTCTGCCTGCCTTGCAAGCCCAAGGTCCAGAGTTCAAACCCTGGTACCAAAAAAAAAAAAAAAATTTAATATGAGTTAACAACTAAAAAGCAATTTGAAATATCAATAACCAAGTCTATCTAGGTGGGTCTGGTGGAACACACCTATAATCCTAACACTGCCCAGGAGGCTGAGGCAGGAGAATAGTGCCCCAGCCAGGGATTTTAGTGACTTAGCTAGGCCTTGTTCAAGAGAAAAAATGTGAAAAAATGCAAACAGTCTTTGTAAATAGGGAAGGATGAAGGAGGTGAAGGGAGGGCAGGGGTATGGGAAAATAATAAGAACCAAGATACATCATGTAAAGGTAAAAAAAAAAAGATCCCAATGATAAATGTAACTGTATTGTTTTTGTTTGCTTTAAATGTACCAATAAACTTAACAAAATAAATAAATAAATAAATAAATTTTAAAAGGCTGGAAATGTAGCTCAGGGAGAAGCCTACTGTATGGAACTAGAGGAGATACTTATAAGCAATAACAACTTACAGTCCTATTTACTTCGTTGTGTTTCTAAACTGGTTATAGAAACAACTAGACTAATAAATTCAAATTTCCTTTCCATGACAGAGTATTAACATTCTATTATTCTAAAAAGTAAATTTATTATTTTCTTTAATAAGTGAAGCAAAATATATACCTGGCTTTTCCCAGAAAGCAACTCAGTGCCTGTTTGTCATTCATGATACAGAAGGAAAATCATTAATTGATGGTCTTTTGCAGTTCTCTTTTATTTTTTGTGTGGAGACAGGTAGCCAAAGCACCTTCTTCTGTAAAGGGTTAAAAGTGGGATTTTTACCAGGTTACAAGTACTTAGTAAATACTAGCATTTTAAAAATACAATAAATAACATTATTGGAGTGATCTCTTTCCTGTAGACCCAAGTTCTAGAATGCAGAGAATTATGACACTGAATTCTTTACATGTTCTTGGACTACTAGGACTTCATCTACAAGTTATCAGAGATCTTTGAACAGATGAGGGGTCAGGTAACATATAGATCTTTATTGAGTAATCAGTATTTTAGCATATCAAGGGTGAATACCACATCTATCTAAGAATCTTTAGCCAGAACAATAATAAAATAATAGTTACTGTGATTGAGAATCTTAATTCTGGAGCAGAGCAAAATAAATAAGAGTTCATAAATCAAAGGAAACTTCTAATGACTTACAAACTTGAAATGAGTGCACAAAAAAGTAAATGTAGGGGATCTTATAGCCAAATATTAATGTAGCTTGTCGTATCACTGGCAAGCTGTAATACTTCTACAGTACATTAATACTGATTTACAGTGTTATACCAGCTTTTCTAGGTGATGTCTTCCTTCTAGAGGCTTGTATCTCAATGTCCGTGAAAGAAGCATCCATTCAAGGAAAACTGTGTAAAGAATATACATATAAATACATTAACATGTGTATATATACACAGACAAACACACTAAATTAAGCAAATACAGTGGTTCCTTAGGTCACAAACAATTCATTCTATGATTCTAGAAAAGATGGCTGCATTCATGTTCATGTGGGGAAAATGGCTGCAGTCTTGTTCATCACCCAATGCAGAATTCACAAAGATAAAATTTTGCCAAACATTTTGGTGCGCAAACCAAGTTGGTTGCAAACAAAAGCATTCATGAACCAAGGTATCTCTGTATATATTTTCACAATGATAAAGCACATATATAAACTGAAGCAAATTGAGAGAATTAGGATCTCTGTTGGAGAAAAGATAGGATAAGAGTAGAAAGAATTATTTCAGTAAACTTTTTCATTGGTCTTTTGTGGTTTTTATTATTGTTCTGTTTTTCATTTTTAATACAAATTCCTTCCTTTAAAACTTTTATTTTTAAACTTTTATTTTAGATGTCTGTATTAACATTTTGTTTTGGTTCTAAAATAAAATGTGAGGGGGATGAGAAAGGAAATTTTTACAGAAAAAGCACAGAACCATTGCGTTAGTTAGTTTTCGCCTCTGTGACAGAATACCTGATAAAGTCTACTTAAGAGAGAGAAGGTGTATTTCGGCTCACAGTTACGGACGTTTCAGTCTGTGGTCAGCAGATCCCACTGGTATGGGCCTTAGGTGAGGCCACAATCTTGGTGGAAGGGCATGGTGGAGCAAAGCTGCTCACCTCATGGCAGCCAGGAAGCAGAGAGAAATGGAGGGAGCCTGAGAGGAAGGGGCCAGGAACAAGGTCTACCCTTCAAAGGTACGCCTCAAAGGTACGCCTCAAGTGAACTGCCTCATTCATTTAGGCTCCACACTCTCATAAGCCCTTTGAGCTATGAACTCATCAATGAATTAATCCACCTGAAAAAATGACATCCATTTAGTTCCTCAAGTCCTATCAGCTGGCAACCAAACCTTCAGCACAGTGAAGCTTTAGGGGGGCAATAGTAACCACCTGCCTGTCCTCATTTGTGAACTTAAGGACTTTGTCACCATCTGTCTTTCTCCCTTTCTCTCCCCCACCTTCTCTCTGCCTCCCTCCCTCTCCCTCCGTCCCTCCCTCTCCCTCTCCCCCCACCTCCATTACCCCATACCCCAACCTGTCCAGCCTCTCAGCAAGTCATGTTGATTCTGGTCTCCATTCACTGCTCTCATCTCCTGAACCCAGTCTTACTCCACACCACATCTGGTCAGTACCTTCCTACCCATCCTTTCCACACTCCTCCAGTCCATTGTCCATGGTTTCTTCAGTCTGTAATCCATAATGCGACTACCATGATAATTTAACATCATCAAGTGTATCACTTAAAACATTTCAGTGGCTTCCCATTTCTGTGAAAATAAAGGCTCATGTCTTTATGGAGGCCTTAAAGGTTGCACCTGTTTACACAACCTCCTATGGAGTCTCTGCCTCCTCAGTGGGTTGTGCCCCATCCACCTTGACCTTACTTCAGTTGCTTGAAAATGCTAAATGTTTTCTCACACCAGAGATGTGCCTAGTTTTGGTATTTTTCTCCCCCAGTCCACATGGCTAACTTGCTGAGAACTTGGCCTAAGTTTTACTTCTTTGTCACTGAAACAACTAGCGATAGCAATGTGATTAAGGTGAGAAAGAGAAAACTTGTAATGTGCTTCAGCTGTTCAGGAAACAAAGAGATTGTACTAATTTCCCCAAGAGCATAAAATAGGGAAAAATGAAATTGCCAGAGAAGGTGTTTAAGACGGGGTGGAGTTTTTTGATTCTTTACTTTTTGGTGGTTTATTTTTTTCCAATTTGAAAAATTGTTAATGTGTGGCTGGAAACATAATTGAATGTCTACAAAATAAAATACACTTTGGCAAAGGTAGACCTCTTCATCCAAAGAAGGAAAAAGCCAATAGTGAATAATACAATAAAGATAAGTACACAGCAATATGTGATAAGCATCATGTGCATATGATAAAAGGAAAGAAAAATCTAACAAAGTCACAGCATAACTTTATCACAGCCTAGCCTCTGAGACATAAAAGTAAATAAATGGAAACATAAATGGAAACAGAAGAATATATGGCTAAGAAATTAATGTAATTCTATGTTACATTATGAAAAAAATTGATCTTGTTAAACAACAGTAGTAAACCTGAGTAGTCTGCCTCCCCTGGAGAAGTTTTTATTCTGGAGAATACAGTGCATATATGGCCTAAAGTAAAATATTTAGCATTTAAATGTATTTTGTCAGCAGATATTTGTTACCATAAAATATAAAGATTACCTAAATATTCCACTCAAATAAAAGAAGCCAAGTGTAATGATAAATGTGTTTACATTTTAAATTTAGGTAACAGGCACTGATATCTTCCTCTAAGACTTGGCTTTGCTTTTGAGTTTGATAATTATCATATACCCAAAAAATGTATAGTTGCCTTGGGACTAATTTTGGATGCCTTAGTGGCACCTGAGAAAATATTTTTCTGGGTCAGTTAAATATGACAAAAATGTTACCTTGAAATAATCTCAGGCTTGAAAATAGCACTGTCTTTGAAAAGAATGTTTTCCAGTAAGATTCAGGATCAGGTAGCATTGTTGCTGTAGAATTTAAAGAACTCATAAAGAATAGTGAAGTGTGTGTGTGTGTGTGTATGTGTGTGTAGACTTAATCCAGTCTGCTCTATTTCATTTAAAAGTTTTAAAAGGTGGGATGGGTAGGGGAAGGGTAATAAGGGAAAAGAAAAAAATGTGAGATAATGAAAAGATGGAAATAAAGTGTTTGTAGGTGGGGAGGGGAGGAGGGGGTGAAGGGAGGGCAGAGGTAAGGGGAAAAAATGAGAATCAAGACTTGTCATGTAGAGGTACAAGATCCCAACAATGAATGTAACTGTACTGTATCCCTAAAATGTACCAATAAACTCAATTAAAGCTGAAAAAAAAAGTTTTAAAACAAATAATGTTCTTACATTATAAAATCAGATGGGTATTTAGAATCATATTTTCTGAGAAACAGTCTCTTTTAGGTTGCTTTGTAAGTAAGTCATTTTACTAATTTTCTACTAAGTTACTAATTTTCAAATATTTTAGTTTGTTTTTTGAAGAGCTTGTTTGATTTTTCACATTAGGAAATGATTATGCTTATTACACTTAAAGAAATTGTAGGGGGCTGGGGATTTAGCTCAACGGTGCCTCCACCTGCCTTGCAAGCCAAGGTCCCAAGTTGGATCCCCGCTAACAAAAAAAAAAAAAAAAAAATTGTGGGGTTTAGAGGCTTTAGCTCTTTCTTGCAGTTTTTCAGAGAGTGGGTATTATGGCTGTCTTGCATGAGTTGTGCTCACTTCTGCAACAGATATTCCCCCCAAGTACTTGCCATGCAATATAAAAAGAAATAAGAAACTAAATTGGTTTTGACAGGTTTTTTTTTTAATCTGTTTCACTATATGTTATACATGAAAATAACACAATTAAGCAGATCCTGTATAGGATTTTTTTTTAACCAGTTGGTAATTTTTCATATTGAGCTATTTTTGTTTTGTTAACTTCTTTTTTCTAGCTATCAGTTCCTAAGTACTTGAATACAAACTAAAATGGATGCACTGAAAGCTGGCTTTGTACTTGCTGGTTAAATATTAAATCCTGTTTTCTTTTATCAATAAAATTTTTTGTCTTCCTCCCTTCCTTCTTTTCTTCTTTCCTTTCTTCCTTTCTTCCTTCCTTTTTTCCCCTCATTTTTAGGACCTGGGGATACCGAAAGTGGGCCATGTGAAGCGAATTCTCCAGGGAATTAAAGAGCTTGGAAGGAGCACTCCGCAGTCTGAGGTGTAATCATTATCGGTGCTATTCCTTGGAAGAGAAGTAATTGATACTTAATACAAAATTCTTGGAAGCAGTGGCTGTTCTTGTTGTTTTCTGCATAGATAAGTAAGCACCTTTGAAGCACCTCTATGGCTTAATATTTTTCTTTGGGTGAAAATTTTGATTTGAGGTATAAGAAAATATTTTTGTGCCAAAAATACATTCCATTAAGCCATTTTCTTATTGTGCAAACCTAACATGTTTAAATATGCTCACAATAGTTTTTAAAAATAGGAATATGAAATGATTGCCTTGTCTAAAAGGTGGAATGGATGTTTCCTTTGACCTGGTCTTACAGAATGTTCTTTCTGTGCAGCCATGTAGCAGTATGTGGATAAAACTTCTTAGGTTTCATTATTGGAGGCATAGACTACTTCCTCAAAATCATTGGTTAGGAGACAAGATATAAAGTTGTATTTTCAATGTTAGATTGGTATCACCTCAGGTTCCCAGCACTCACTGGTCAAAGAATGTGGTTAAACCCATCAAATAGTATAAATAATGCAAATCTTAATGCATGGTGTTCCTGCCTGAATTGTCTTTCCTTTTCTTGCATGTCATATATAATATTGTAATACTTTATAGTTTAATGTCAATTTTAATGGAATTTATTTATTACTTCCCAAGTACCTTTTTGTGGGCTAAGGGCACTACACTTTTTGGTTCTTTAATGTGGATTTTTGCAGATACATATACCTAAGATGCAGTGATCATGTGTCTGTGATATAAGCAACAACTTGTATGCATCGTATGTAAGCCAGCTTTATTTCAGTCTGTCATAAACTGTGGCTGTGCACATTGAGAAAATTCTCTGGATATTTCATAAATTTTCATGCTTTTTTCCTAACAAAATGTATTAGTTTTCCAAACCACATTTCCCACATTTTGACCCTCTTTTTTTCATTTCAATTTAGTAATTATACTCTGTTTGAATTTAAAACAGACCATTGCCACCTAGGAATTCTCCAAGATCTCAGCTGAGATTTGTATACTGATTGATCACCCAGACTCACCCACTAGCTACAGTGACTTCTGACACAAAAATCCAACAGAAGAAATTTAATTTTTTTTCCTAAGGGCTTTATATTATTATTTCATGTAATTCTTATATTCTGCCAGGTATTTTCCTTTCTCTAATCCACTATGTCAGTATTATTGATTAGAAGTCAGCATAACAATGATCAAATCTTTGAAAACCAAAGGCATTGTATCAGAAATTCACAGAAATATCCTTAAGGAAATTTTCTTTAGCCATTGTATTGAAGAAATTAATTTTTTAAATGTTCTTTGTAAGAGAAATAAACAGGGTATTGACCTAGTGGTGACGGTTTTCTGTAACCTGATAGGTGCTCCATAGATACAAATACACACATACATGTGTTTATACACCTATATCCACATATACAATATTTATATGTATTTACACACTTGTGTACACATGATATTGAGACATAACATCACTGATATGTCCTAGGAAATTATTTTACCCAATATTTAAAGAGAAATATTGCTAGACATATAAGTATCAAAAGAATTTAGCTACTTGACTGTTAATTCTAGTTTATAACTTGACTAATTACCAGTAAAATCACAAATTTTAAATATCCTAAAAATAGTGAAGGCTAGGAATGTAGCTCAGTGGTACAGCACTTGACTAGCATGCGTGAGACCCTAGGTTCTTTCTTCAGCACCACAAAACAAACAAAAGAAGCCTACTTATTGGGTTCTTGACCAAGTACATCTGACTATATATTTTACCTAAGTTCCAGACAAATGGAAATTTTCTAAAGAGAATTTATAATAAGTAGTTTAAAAGAATAATAACTTGAATTTTGTCCACCACTATTAAGGCAAAAAGTCTCCTTTTCCAGTCTCATTTGTAGACCCCACCCAACATATTGTCCTGCTCCAGTTACTTTGCTGTGAAATCTAAATACCAGGTGCCAGATTTCCAGAACTCTTCTAAGATCTCAGATCCCTATCCAGCTTTTAGGAAAGGCAAGGGGTAAGTAGGGAAGGAACTATAATATAAAGAATGTGCTGGGAGTAGTGGCGCATGCCTGGAATCCCAGCACTCGGGAGGCTGAGGCAGGAGGATCACTGTGAGTTTGAGATCAGCCCGGGCTACATAGTGAGTTCCAGGTCAGTCTCAACTACATAGTGAGACCCTGTCTCAAAAAA